CACACACACACACACACACACACACACACACACACACACACACACACTCTTGGATGAGCAGTGGACAGCTACATCATTTGGTGGTGGATTGGTTGGTTTTTAAACTGCAGCATTTTACAGTCAGGACTGGAGTTAGGCTGTGTTCATGTTTTCTCAAAAGACTGGTTTGGTTAAAAGGAAAGGTGTTGGTTACCGCTTGTCATTGTAGATTATACATAGATTACGAATGCATTGAGGAAGTTGAGGACAGCTGCTCTGACTGTGCTAAAATGCTGCTTTGAACCAAGGAAATGCAAATGGAAAATAAGGTCAGAGAAAGAGAGATGAGACACTTCACAATAACAGAAACAGTAACAGAATACATCCAGACAATATGAAGACAAAGTGGACTGGGCTGAGGGAGGAAAATCTGTAGAAGCAGAACAAGACTGAAAGTGCAGTTTCTTTTTCAATGAAAGAGTAACATTTTCAATGAATCAGTGCCACCAGGATGTCAGAGGTTTACTTCTACTAATGGCCTAAAATGACTTTTACTGAAAACAAAATTAGACCTGCTGATAATACCAGAATTGAAGTGTTTTTATATGTTACTCTGTAGTAAAAATAAAACTGTGCGTCCTTCACAAAGGGTGTGATGTTCGGATTCAGGAGTTAATGAAAATGTTCCACGTGGTGCACCCATATTTAACAATATCTGCCAATAGAATGGGAATCATCAGTGGTTATCACGAGCATTCTACTGCTTGAGATGGACCTAAATGCACCTGTAACGTTGTGAAAGTGAAACCTAACGTACATAAGTTACGTAAAAAAAGTATTGGAAACACACGGGACATGAAAGGGGGTCTGTCGGGTGAAAGTCCTGTCCAGGATTAAACAAGATTAAAATAAGAGTTAAAAGAAGTATTTTTCTTTAACGTAACTTTGCGGTAATTAAGTACGCAAGTCACATAACAATGGTACTGCAAAATAAGTCAATGTTGTCTTTTGGTTTCAAGCGGGTCAGGAACAGCATTCTCCTGGGTAAAAGTCCTGTGTTTGTTTGACCCAAGAATACACCCAAACTCTGATCATAATTAGTACAGCCACTAGTGGTCGTCTTCGTCTTCTTGTATTCATATCGGTGATAAACCGTGTGAATAGATGATAACTTCCTTCTGAACCTACTCATTTGTGTAGCGAGCTTTTTCTAACCCATCTATGAGGCTGAGAAACACTGAAGACTCCCATTCTATCGGCTGGTGACGGTTGAAGCCGGTGTTAAAACAGTCTGGCCTCCCTTCTGAGTCCTCTGATGGTCTTCTGGGACCCCGAAAGTCCTTCTCTTTGGACTTCAATAGAATGTTCTATAATAATAGTAAGTAACCTAACAGTGTATTTCTTATGGAAAAAGATTGTCATTTTTAATGACAATTCATTTGTTTCTAAAATTGTAAGAATCAGCGAAACATACATTAAGTGATTGTGTAAAGGCACTTTCAGGCTTATTCCCAACACAGTGATAAACCAGAGAAGGGGAATATATTTTTCACAGTTGACCATATAAACGTTCTATTCCTAATATCTTAACAAGGATTATAAATAGAAATGTAAAAAAATGACAAGCTAAGGATGTGGTGTACAATAAATGCACATAGAATTTTCAATCAAAAAGGTTAGGTTTGAACACTATACACAGTATAATGCAAGACTACAACTACAACCAAATCATGAATTTAAAATACTGGAGGAAAAAAAGTCACAACATAAAATAAAATAAAGACTGGTTAATCAAATGATCTTTTCTCAAAACAGTCATGAAGGACAGGTACACTGACTACGGACCACAGCTCAGCCAATAAAAAGAGAGAAGGAAGGAAGGAAGGAGAAAAGGATCAGAGTTCACCCCCCCCCCCTCTCCACTCACAGAGCAGCATGGCCAGAAACAGCCACTTTACAGTCCAAAACACTCCAAAACACTGACAGAGAAAAGGAGGAGAGGTAGAGCAACAGACAGGATGAAGAGGTGACAGATGAGAAGTAATCAGGCTGCAACCACTGACACATTGTTTTTTGTTGTTGTTGTGCAAATTAATACAAACATTAAATACTTTAAAATATTTCATCAAGAATATACAGCCTTTAACATTACACTGTTCTTAAAACTCTTCAAAACAATGAAATATAATTTGGTTTGTGCTAATACTGAATCGTTTAATATTTGTGTCTTCTGGTCTGGCCTAAGGTAAGATTAGCTGTACTATAACAGTTGGATAAATCATATTCATATTATTTGTTCTAGCCAATTTCATCAATGTATAATGTATAATACGTATCTGTATAATGAAAGACACTTCAACAGCACCACAAACAATATCCTTGGCAACTGAAGCAACGCCTCTGAAAAGTTATAGAGTGAAAACTACAACCGTCACAGAGTGAAGATCTGGACCGATTCAACTGGGCTGTCTTAAGCTAAGGGTGTCTAATACATTGGAAACTGAGTGTATTCACCCTTGTATGAACTGACAAAGCACAAACAACAGATATGGTACGTTGTGAAACAAAACTACTTGGTTACGGTCAGAAAACAATCATAGTTTGTGTTAAAATAGTAATGTAACAACGTAACATAACAACCGTAAAAATGTAAATAGATAACAAATAACTTTCTTTCGTAAAGTTACGTAACTAATGTAACAACAGTACATAAGAAGCCTAAAGTGAACTTTTACTTTTTGTTTCCCACAGGACGACAGCAGCAGTCTGTTTGTTTGACCCATGAACCCATGCTTCTTATACTTCTGATTATACCATGTCACTTTCAATATACTTGCCATGTGCATCACTTGTTGTATTATTAATGAAAAGAATATTGACAATCAGCATGAGGCCATTGATGTCCAGCAAAGTAAAAGCTGCACTGATTGATAATTTTTTGGCCACTTTGGGGGAGCCTAAACAAACTATAAATACATCATAAACATATATAACAAACAGTTCCCGGTTATGCGTTAACCTTCATGTGGAGTTGTGTTTGTGTCTGTTTTTGATCTCCACCAACTCCTGAGTAAAACAAACATTGATGAGTGCAGTTTTAATGAATCTATAGTTTTGGTTGGCTGATTGGGGGTAATTTTTGTATTAATTGCAGCCCTAAGAGAGTGAGTCAGGAAAGGACAGAGATAGACAGTGAGAACACAGATGGAATTGTACACTTCACAACAGATAACAACCATCTCAGTTACTAAGACACAACCACCAGCTGACTGTAGGTTGTCTACATGGCCGTGAGGGTAGGGGTGATGGTAAATATTAGTAATATTTAGAATGTGCCAGATACTGTACAAATCCTGAGAGGGAGGCAAACATGGGTTGTGTTTTAGACAGCCCTAGCTACACTTCTACTACTTCTGCCTGGAGATGTCTGGATTTTTTAATCTTAACATCTATATGGTGTATTTGAGAAGAAGTCATCATCAGTTCATTCTTATTGTGGAAGAGGAAGACGTGACACATTTTAGAAGTGGACTAAGACTTTACACAGTATAACCAGTTATAATTGGCCAAGATAAAAAAAGAGATATTGGAATGGTGAGTGTAAGGCAGAAAAGTAGCTACAAGTACAGAGCAGGTAAGGACGAGGTTTAAAGGTCTACACTCAGGACCTGGACAGAACTGACACAACAACTAACCGACTGTAGTGAAAGAGAGAGAGAGAGAGAGAGA